AAGAAGAAAATTAAAAGTGAATACAGGAAAGAGTAAGGTTATGAGGATAGAAAAAAGATTAGGTGATGAAAGATTGGATATCAGATTGGAGGGAGAGAGTATGGAGGAGGTGAATGTACAGGTCTCCCTCAACATTCACGTTTTCAGCTTTCGCGGGCTTCACACATTCGCGAATTCCCAACCGCCAAATTCCCAGCCGCCAAATCATATTCAAGTTTCCCGCCACCTGCGAGTCCCTACTACCCTCCCACCAACCCCCGCAACTGGCAGCCAGCCCTCCCACCACTCAGTGTGGTGAGTGTTTTGTTTGTTCATTATTTGTTATTAAACTACAGTATAAATAATGTAAACCCATTCTTGACTGCATATTGGAATGGCTATTCGGACAGGTATTAGACGGTGACATCATGTGTTTACTCTTGAACACAGCAAAGAATCAAACATTTCTGCTACTGCTAATAATAACAATAGTAATAATAATAATAATAAAAATAATAATAATAATAACAATAATAATAATAATAATAAATACGATATAATTGAAGAAGGAAGTTGTACAAAAATACGAGGGAGTGGTTGACACATCGTCAGTGTGACTTTGTTTATGCTGGAGTGAACATTAGTCTCCGTGCTCTTCCAAACATTTCACAATAATTCATTGTGTTTGGTGCTTGTAGATTGAGTGTGACTGGAGTGGTAGAGGCAGTGGTTGAGGCAGCGATTGAGGCAGTGGATGAGGCTGCTGTTGAGGCAGTGATTGAGGCAGTGGTTGAGGCAGCTGTTGAGGCAGCGATTGAGGCAGTGGTTGAGGCAGCTGTTGAAGCAGCGATTGAGGCAGCTGTTGAGGCAGCGATTGAGGCAGTGGGTGAGGCAGCTGTTGAGGCAGCGATTGAGGTAGTGGGTGAGGCAGCTGTTGAGACCGATTGAGGCAGTGGTTGAGGCAGCTGTTGAGGAGGCAGCGATTGAGGCAGTGGGTGAGGCAGCTGTTGAGGCAGCGATTGAGGCAGCGATTGAGGCAGTGGTTGAGGCAGCTGTTGAGGCAGCGATTGAGGCAGTGGGTGAGGCAGCTGTTGAGGCAGCGATTGAGGCAGTGGGTGATGCAGCTGTTGAGGCAGCGATTGAGGCAGTGGGTGAGGCAGCTGTTGAGGGAGCGATTGAGGCAGTGGGTGAGGCAGCTGTTGAGGCAGCAATTGAGGCAGTGGGTGAGGCAGCTGTTGAGACAGCGATTGAGGCAGTGGTTGAGGCAGCTGTTGAGGCAGCTGTTGAGGCAGTGATTGAGGCAGTGGGTAAAGCAGCTGTTGAGGCAGCAATTGAGGCAGCTGTTGAGGCAGCGATTGAGGCAGTGGTTGAGGCAGCTGTTGAGGCAGCGATTGAGGCAGTGGTTGAGGCAGCTGTTGAGGCAGTGGTTGAGGCAGCTGTTAAGGCAGCGATTAAGGCAGTGGGTGAGGCAGCGATTGAGGCAGTGATTGAGGCAGTGGGTGAGGCAGCGATTGAGGCAGTGGTTGAGGCAGCTGTTGAGGCAGTGGTATTTAATAACATACATGTTATTAATAATATGTACTATTATTATTTATAACATATATGTTATTAAATACCACTGCCTCAACTGCTGAATTATTGTGAAATGTTTGGAAGAGCAGGGAGACTAATGTTCACTCCAGCATAAACAAAGCCACACTGACGATGTGTCAACCACTCCCTCGTATTTTTGTACAATTTCCTTCTTCAATTATATCGTATTATTATATATTATTATTAATTATTATTGTTATTATTATTATTACTACTACTATTGTTATTATTAGCAGAAGCAGAAATGTTTGATTCTTTGCTGTGTTCAAGAGTAAACACATGATGTCACCGTCCAATACCTTTCTGAATAGCCATTCCAATATGCAGTCATGAATGGGTTTACATTATTTATACTGTAGTTTAATAGCAAATAATGAACAAACAAAACACTCACCACACTGAGTGGTGGGAGGGCTGGCTGCCAGTTGCGGGTCTCGGAGGGAGGGTAGTAGGGACTCGCAGTGGTTGAGGAAGTGGTGGAGGCATTGATGGAGGCAGTGGAGGAGTCTGTGGTATTTAATAACATACATGTTAGTAAAACATAACATGCATATACAGTATTTAGTACAATTTACGACGTTTTCATGTATTTTATGATTGTTCATGGTTCAACAAGTTAAGGAAGCAGTATTGTATTATATTTCCCTACAATATATTGGGGCACCAAACATTCACGGTTTTTCAACATTCGCGAGGCTCTTGATCTCCTAACCCTCGCGAATGTTGAGGGAGACCTGTATTCAGATATTTGGGAGTGGACGTGTCAGTGGATGGGTCTATGAAAGATGAGGTGAATCATAGAATTGATGAGGGGAAAAGGGTGAGTGTGCACTTAGGAGTCTGTGGAGACAAAGAACTTTGTCCTTGGAGGCAAAGAGGGGAATGTATGAGAGTATAGTTTTACCAACGCTCTTATATGGGTGTGAAGCATGGGTGATGAATGTTGCAGCGAGAAGAAGGCTGGAGGCAGTGGAGATGTCATGTCTAAGGGCAATGTGTGGTGTGAATATAATGCAGAGAATTCGTAGTTTGGAAGTTAGGAGGAGGTGCGGGATTACCAAAACTGTTGTCCAGAGGGCTGAGGAAGGGTTGTTGAGGTGGTTCGAACATGTAGAGAGAATGGAGCGAAACAGAGTGACTTCAAGAGTGTATCAGTCTGTAGTGGAAGGAAGGCGGGGTAGGGGTCGGCCTAGGAAAGGTTGGAGGGAGGGGGTAAAGGAGGTTTTGTGTGCGAGGGGCTTGGACTTCCAGCAGGCATGCGTGAGCGTGTTTGATAGGAGTGAATGGAGACAAATGGTTTTTAATACTTGACATGCTGTTGGAGCGTGAGCAAAGTAACCATTTATGAAGGGGTTCAGGGAAACCGGCAGGCCGGACTTGAGTCCTGGAGATGGGAAGTACAGTGCCTGCACTCTGAAGGAGGGGTGTTAATGTTGCAGTTTAAAAACTGTAGTGTAAAGCACCCTTCTGGCAAGACAGTGATGGAGTGAATGATGGTGAAAGTTTTTCTTTTTCGGGCCACCCTGCCTTGGTGGGAATCGGCCAGTGTGATAAAAAAAAATATATATATATATATTAAATCTGTGGGAGAGCATTGCATTGGCTTGCTTTTCTGCCTAGTAGGCTGTAGGTGGAATTTTAATCTGGGCATGAAGTCAGTGTCTACCTTTCCCTTTCAAGCCGCATGTACCTTGCATTGTTTCCCTAAATACTTTACATTTTTTTTTAGTTACAAGTTCTGGCATTTTCAACAGGAAAAAATTATTCTTGGAGATCTTGAAAGAGGCTTTTCATACCTACCTGTTATGAGCTTCAATCCCTGCATTTCTCCAGTGAACTCTGACTCAGACATCATGTTTTCTATTTTGCATAAGCCATGTGACTCCTTTTCCTCCTAGGATAAAACAATTTTTTTTTTGTGTGTGTGAATTATTGCAAACCCTGTTTGCATCACCATTTGCTTTGGATATGGTCTAAGACTTGTCACTTTAGCGCTTGTTAAATTTTTGTTTCATCATTTGTGATAAACATCTTAATATTCTCATCCATGTCCATAGCAAACTTTCCCTTTCTCACGTATTAATTCTAGTTCTAGTCCTCATTTCCTATCTTTTATAATCCTCTGTTTTTCTTAATTAAGCTCACAGAAACCAAATCTAATCTTTCTCTCGGCTTCATTACAAATTTCTTCCTCTTACTTATATCCTTATTATCCTACAGTGGCATGTCTCATGTATATTTACATTCTTTACCTGCCTTTTTTTTTTCCTACATTTGTTAGACTTTGGTTCAGGCATTGCTAACCAAATTTATTATCCCTTTTTCTTTGGTTATTTTTACCTATGATAAAGGAGGTTGGACATCCAACAGGCTTGGGTTGAGCATGTTAGATAGGAGTGAGTGGAGGTAAGTGGTTTTCATGACTTGAAGGACTGTTGGAGTGCTAGCAGGGTAACATTTATGAATGGATTCAGGATAACCAGTTAGCTGAACTTGAGTCCTGGAGGTGAGATGTACAGTGCTTGCAATCTGGTGGGGTGGAGATAGTGCAGTTTGGAGGAGCATCTGAACTGTGTTATCAGCTTCTGGCAAGACAGTGATTGAGTGAGTGGTGATGGAGCTTTTTCTTTTTTATTGGGTCATCCTACCTCAATGGGAGATGGCAGGTGTGTTAAAAAAAGCATGAATAGTAAGTAAATACAGTGGACCCCCGGTTCACGATATTATTTCATTCCAGAAGTATGTTCAGGTGCTAGTACTGACCGAATTTGTTCCCATAAGGAATATTGTGAATTAGATTAATCAATTTCAGACCCCCAAACATACAAATACAAACGCACTTACATAAATACACTTACATAATGGGTCGCATTGGGAGCTGATCGTAAACCGGGGGTCCACTGTATACTGTACATACAATACATACATTGTCATGTCTTCAAAGCATTTATTGTAGTTAGTCTTAAAATGCTGGAGACTCGTTTTTTTTTATTGATCTTTTATACTGTACTGTGAGTAGTTTTAAATGAGGAAAGTTCATCTTATAATATTAATATAATAATAATAATAATAATAATGAAGTAATTGCTACTACTTTATTTAAAAATTAACAGTATTTATGCATTTTACGTACAGTAAACCTTCAATTAATTGACCTTGGTTTAACATACTGTAAATACAGAACAAAATCTGCCAGTTCAGTTGATCTGGAAACAACACGGTGTATTCTTCTCAGAATGGTCTTATTAAATTCTTGGCACAATAATCTTGTTTCTGCCACCACGGTTGCATTACCAGCCATCCACTCTCCCCTATTACTACATGAAATAAAAACTTTACTGTGTTTTGTAATGACATATTTGAAGATGCATTAATAAATTTCAATTTGCTTTATTGACAGTTTTGTTAAATATATTGTGTATCTGCAGGCGCCTCGACCACCCAAGCAGCCAGTGGTACAAGACTTCCAGTTCTTCCCTCCGAGATTATTTGAGCTGCTGGATAAGGAGATCTACTATTACCGGAAGACTGTTAGCTACAAGGTGAGTGGTTTCCTTATAGGATCTAGAAAGAGATAGCTATAAGATTAATTTACATTTATAATTGAGGCTAGTAACCTCTTTTCCTGTATAAATTACTAAATATACAAGGAAAACTTTTGTTTTTTCTGTCAGTCGCCCTGTCTCAGTACAATAAGGCTGGTGCATTGGAAAAAACATTTATATTGAAGTTTTAAGTTATATTTTTAAATGTGGATGTACTGTAGATAGTCACATCGTCCTAACATTTGTTTTATGTCTCATGGGTTTTTTATGCCAATTCCTTATTATTAGCTTAATTGCTATTAGAGCAGGGTAAACTGGCTTAAGTGTTGGTTTATAAGAATGCACAGTTTATTGATAAGTTTCAACGCAGAGTACGTATTATAAATTGATTGATAGTTATATTGAAAGTTATATAAAATACTGACAAGTTGATAAGTAAGGTTGGGTATCTTTGTTATTGAACAGTAATTACTTGCATGAATACGTACTTAGACTGGGTCCTCCTATTCTTGCTTAAAAATTGTTTTAGTCTTTGTACTTTGCTGTTTATTTGTCAAGGGTTTGCTCATTGTGATTTAAATAAAATATTGGTATTTGACAATAATTTTTGTAATGAACATACATGTTTTAAAACTTCCTTAGTTAAAGAATTGATAATGTTTTCAAATTTGTGTACAGTGAGTTTGCCACAACAGAAATGTCGTAGCTAACTCTCCCTGCCATCATAGAAATGTCATAGCTAACTCTCCCTGCCATCACAGAAATGTCATGGCTAACTCTCCCTCCCATCACAGAAATGTCATAGCTAACTCTCATTGCCATCACAGGAATGTCACAGCTAACTCTCCCTGCCATCACAGAAATGTCACAGCTAATTCTCCCTGCCATCACAGAAATGTCATAGCTAACTCTCCCTGCCATCACAGAAATGTCACAGCTAACTCTCCCTGCCATCATAGAAATATCATAGCTAACTCTCCCTGCCAGCACAGAAATGTTATGGCTAACTCTCCCTGCCATCACAGAAATGTCACAGCTAATTCTCCCTGCCATCACAGAAATGTCATAGCTAACTCCCCCTGCCATCACAATTTTTTTTTATTTTTTTTTTTCAACAAGTCGGCTGTCTCCCACCGAGGCAGGGTGACCCAAAAAAGAAAGAAAATCCCTAAAAAGAAAATACTTTCATCATCATTCAACACTTTCACCACACTCACACATTATCACTGTTTTTGCAGAGGTGCTCAGAATACAACAGTTTAGAAGCATACACATATAAAGATGGTTTAGAAAGACACGTAAGCAAACACTATAACATATTTATTAGAAAACGTTTCGGTCCTGGGACCTTGATCACTTCTAACATACAGAGGTAGAAAGACATTTTATATAGGCGGAGAGTGAGATGTGACGCACGTGACCTGAGGAATGTCATAAGAACATAAGAATGGAGGAACACTGTAGAAGGCCTACTGGCCCATGCGAGGCAGGTCCTTATCAAAACAACCTCTGCCTATGATGAGGACGAGTAGACGATGAAATCATGTGACTCCTGTGTTGTTGGGTTGGTGCTGCTTAAGTATCATGTATGCCAATGTTTTTGAAATTTTGTAGTTTCCAGTGTTGCGTTCTATAGTGTCGGTGACGGTGATTAGTGAGGCTTCTAGGCACCGTCGGCGTCTGAGGTCTGGTTCGGTGAGAACGAGTTGTGCCTCGTTCCAGTTCATCAAATGCCTGTGGAGTCTCTGTGGAGGACACAGGCGTACCTTACATCGTCTCTGTTAGAGGCATTTCGATGCTCATTCAGGCGGACTGCAAGATCTTGCAGTCCGCCTGAATGAGCATCGAAATGCCTCTAACAGAGACGATGTAAGGTACGCCTGTGTCCTCCACAGAGACTCCACGGGGCATTTGATGAACTGGAACGAGGCACAACTCGTTCTCACCGAACCAGACCTCAGACGCCGACGGTGCCTAGAAGCCTCACTAATCACCGTCACCGACACTATAGAACGCAACACTGGAAACTACAAAATTTCAAAAACATTGGCATACATGATACTTAAGCAGCACCAACCCAATAACACAGGAGTCACATGATTTCATCGTCTACTCGTCCTCATCATAGGCAGCGGTTGTTTTGATAAGGACCTGCCTCGCATGGGCCAGTAGGCCTTCTACAGTGTTCCTCCATTCTTATGTTCTTATGACATTCCTCAGGTCACGTGCGTCACATCTCACTCTCCGCCTATATATATAATGTCTTTCTACCTCTGTATGTTAGAAGTGATCAAGGTCCCAGGACCGAAACGTTTTCTAATAAATATGTTATAGTGTTTGCTTACGTGTCTTTCTAAACCAACTTGTCAGCATTTATTACCAAGGTTTATACCACATATAAAGATACACAACATATCCCTCCAAACTGCCAATATCCCAAACCCAAACAGAAATGTCACGGCTAATGCTCCCTGCGATCATAGAAATGTCATAGCTAACTCTACCTGCCTTCACAGAAATGTCACAGCTAACTCTTCCCTACCCTCTTGTCTTCCTTCTGCTGTGCTATTAAGGGTTAATTATGTCAAACAATTTTGGATTAACAGCTTCTAAAGACATTTAAATGCATTGCAAAAATATATACCATAGAACGCCTGTATCCACTGATTCAGGATCCACGATTTCAGTTATCCATGGTTTACTGTGTCCTAAAAATACCTCTTAATTTTGCATATTAATTGCCCCAAAGCACAAAAGTAGAGAAGCTGACAGTTTTTCAAAGCCCATCAGTGAAAAAGTAATAATTCTCTATTTCTATCTTTCAACAAACTGGCTGTATCCCTCTGAGGAAGGGTGCCCCCCCCCCCCCCCAAAAAAAAAAAAAAAAAAAAGTTTCTCTTTAACTTTAGTAATGTATACAGGAGAAAGGGTTACTGACCCCTTGCTCCTGGTATTGTAGCCGCCTCTTATGACATGCATGGCTTACAAAGGAAGAATTCTGTTCCACTTTCCCATGGAGATAAGAGGAAATCAACAAGAATAGGAAATAGTAAGAAAATAGAAGAAAACCCAGAGGGGTGTATATATAGATGGTTGTACATACATGAGTAGTGTGACCTAAGTGTAAGTAGAAGTAGCAAGTTGTGCCTGAAATCTTGCATGTGTGGAACGGTCTTCCGAGTAGGGTGATTGAGGCTAGGACCTTGGGCAGCTTTTAAAAGAGATTGGACAAATATATGAGTGGAAGGAGCTGGGTTTGTTTGGTGTCGTGGGTACAGGAGTAAACTCTTGGGTAGTTTAGGGTAGGGGTGGTTTTGATAAGGACTTGCCTTGTATGGGCCAGTAGGTCTTATGCAGTGTTCCTCCATTCCTATGTTCTTACGTTTATGAGACAGACAAAAGACACCAGCAATTCTATCATCATGTAAAATAATTAGAGGATTTCATTTTACACTCACTCGGCAGGACGGTAGTACCTCCCTTGGCGGTTGCTGTCTACCAACCTACTACCTAGGAATTCTCTACTAATTGTGCATAATTTATCAGTTAAACTTTAAAGGGTTTGCTACTATTCGCGGTTTTGGTATCCACGGCAGATCCTTGGAATGTATCCCCCATGGATACGGGGGTCCTACTGTATATACAGTGAATGTGGTAATCTATGCTTCAGTATTGTGAGTGACACAACCTTGTGTTGCAGGTTCCAAAGAATCCTGAGTTTATGGGAGAAGCTGCTCGTATACAGAAAGAGGAGCAACAGAAAATCGATGAAGCAGAACCAGTTACAGAAGAGGAGATGGAGGAGCGGGACAGTCTGCTCACACAAGGCTTCCTCAACTGGAGTAAGCGAGACTTTAACCAGTTTATCAAGGCCAATGAGAAGTTTGGTCGAGATGATATCGAAAACATTGCCAAGGTAAGCACTGTACAATGAATAATTTCATCTCTAATGTATCTGTCTGATTTATCCAAAAACCTCCTTATCAATTTTTTTTTTCTTGAATGTAATTACTGAAAAGGAATAAAAAAAATTTGGATTCTTCATTCAGTTCCTTTTTCCTTGGTGGGAAATGGCTGTTTTTAAAATAAAATATTATACCATATCTCATTGAATTAGAGATGGTTCATGACCTTTAATTTATGGCTTAGATATAAAATTCCTGTTTTGCTGTTGGAAATAAAATCTAGTTTTAAAGTGGGACCTAAAATGTTAATTTTAGGGCTAAACATAAAATGTTTGCTGTATGGCTTCATAATCCATATAGTATATTTGCTTGTTGAACATAAATATTTTTAATCTGAATGTGTATTTGTTATTGTTTCAGGAAGTCGAGGGTAAAACGCCTGATGAGGTGATGGAATATTCTGCGGTGTTTTGGGAGCGCTGTTCAGAGCTTCAAGATTGTGATCGAATTCTAGCACAAATTGAAAGGGGCGAGGCAAAAATTCAGAGAAGGGCATCAATTAAAAAGGCTCTTGATGCTAAGGTGAGAAGGTTGATTAATGAATGTTAATGTGTTTTGTTGTTGAGTTCTGTTATTTTTCTTATAATAATTGGTTGTAATGATAAAAGTAGCAAAATATTGGCATTCACTAGCTGACTAATGACAGTTTAACTGGTGTATCTTGTCAAATAAACTTCTTATTTCATGCTGGTCATGTAGGCCACATGATGGCATGTTATTGTATAACTCTTGAAATGAGTATTTTTTCTCTTTAGTTGAAAAGTTTATAGAAGCTGCATTAGCTGATTTTTAGTAAGTAATTTTATTCCTTGCAGATGGCTCGATACCGAGCGCCGTTCCACAACTCCGAATCTCTTACGGAACTAACAAAGGGAAAAACTATACAGAAGAGGAGGATCGCTTTCTTGTGTGTATGCTACACAAACTGGGCTTTGATAAGGAGAATGTCTATGAGGAGTTGAGAGCTGCTGTTAGGTGAGGCAGTATGATCATTAGTCACTACTACTACCATCACCACTATAAATTTGGTGACTGCTACTACGGTGATGACTATGACAACTACGATTACTACAATTTCAGTGACAACAGTTAACACTACAAATACAACTACTACTACTACTAAGACGTACATTAAATTGTTAGCTTTGATGTACGATGATGTAGATGATGAGTGATGATGAATGACGATGACAAAGTAATCATCATCCATCATCACTCATCATAATTTCCATCGTACATCACAGCTGACCATTACTTCCATAACCAGCAAATTACATTTCTATAAACCCTGCCAATGCTTATTCATCTATTATTATTTCATCACTTCCACCTCTTTGAATTCTTCCATACAAGTCTACATTCTCATGTCTCTCTATTAGATCGATAAAACTCCTGGTGGATGAAGCATATTTCAAATCTAGATACCCAGGTGTTGCATGTGTCTTACTTAATCACTCCGTCTGATAGGAAATGATTGATGTATCAGAAAAGAATTAAGTTATTCACCCTTTAGAATTTATCCAGTATTTGCTTTATAATGGTTGTATTACCTCAGCAGAAACTGTGCCAAGTGAAAAATACCTGATAAAGGCATGAGAAATCAAAGGGTAAAAACAAAAAAAGTGTAATAGTAAAGGTCATTAAAATGGCAGTGTGATGTTTGAGGTTGACAGAACAATGTCATATAACATTTTGTGAGTGGCAAGAGGCAAGAACCATTAACAAGAGAACTGTAGATAATTGGTTCAGAGAACCAACAGGTTGATGAATTAGACACCGGTGTAACACTTGGGTATCTTTATTGTGGAAACATTTTGCCAACCAGTGGCTTCCGTAGTCCAATATAGACAAGAATGGTTGAAGATCAGGGAGTTTGAGATAATCAGTCTTCTCTGTGTTGGACTGAGGAAGCCACTAGTTGGTGAAATGTTTCCACAGTAAAGATATCCAAGTGTTGCACAAGTGTAATTCATCAACAGGAGTGTTATTTGAATATTTTCCTTTGTGATGTTGAAATGGGTAACTTGCCTCCAGCCTTTTTTTTTTTGATAATACAGCCTCTCCTCACTTAGCGACATACTCATTTACCGACGACTCAGGCTTAAGACAGGCTCTGACCAGTATGCATGCCTAAATAATGTATAATAGAGCTTATTTCCTCTATTCTGTTTATGATAATATACAGTACATTAGTGTATAAACATTTAAAAATATACCCAAAATGTTATAAATGGTACAAAGGTAACATTAAAACAACAAGAAAGATGGTTGATACAAACCCACTACTATTATAGTATGCTCATCACTTGGCGACGAATTTGTTTACCGATGTGGTCTTAGGAACGGAACTCCATCGTTAAGTGAGGAGAGGCTGTAATGTAAATATTTTGTTTTTGGTTGAAATTGCAGTAGAAAGAATGCAAAAATGTTGTGCATTATAGAGACAAAGGTTTATTTTATATAGTACGTAATTTTAATGTGTGATTGTTTTTTCTTGTTTTTTTCAGATCTGCACCACAATTCCGTTTTGATTGGTTTATTAAGAGTAGAACAGCACTGGAGCTCCAGCGTCGGTGCAACACACTAATTACTCTCATTGAACGTGAAAATCAAGAGTTAGAAGAAAAAGAACGAGCAGAGAGAAAGAAAGGCAGACCCCGAGGGCTGTACATGAAGTCAGGAAAGAGGGCTGGCAGTGCTCAAGATGGCCGTGGAAGACGAAAGAAGAAAACAGAATAAACTTGTCAATTTGGTTAATTTTATAGGAGTGGTTGTGGAAGTAGATACAATACAATTTTCATAAGTTTTGTTAAAAAAAAAATACTTCTGTACCTACTTTGTAAATGCCTGAATTTAGGGTTCTCACATTACTAGCAAAGGGGGTGGGTAAATTTGGGAAGAATTTAATAAGGTCCCTACTGGGTAAATTGATAAAATTTTATAATGGATGAGCCCATAGATCATGAAAAATTTAAAATAGGGCTGGTCTAGTGCTCAGTATTGAAGATTCACCATATAGCTTCTGATTTGATGTGTATAATTTTACAAATCTTGTATTTTGTGGAAGATCTTGTTGCTAATAGGTGAAAGAGTTTGTCTTATTCTTTTATAATGCAGCAAATAAAGTACAAGTGGATCTCAAACTGTATTATGAGTCTCTCTCATTATCATTATTTATCTTTGTATACTGTGAAGGAGAATTGCTGACTCATGCTGCATTTTACCTTCAAAAGTTGAGCAAATTTTTCACGAGTAATTCATTTTAGATTCATATTGTGTTGCAGAACACGGTAAAATACTGAATCATCAATTTATAAACAAAATTTTTTCCTCAAGCTAATTGAAGGAGTAAAGATCAAACGTGTAAAAAAATTTAATAAATTTTTATTAAATTTAATAAATTTAATAAAAAAATTTTGCCTGTACAAATTCATTTGAGTGAAAGCATTATTGATGGCTATATTAGCAAACATTTTCATCAATTTATAAATGTCAGTGGAAGTTGCCAAAAAAAAAAAAAGTACAGATGCTGGTATTTGCATTTCTTTTACATTATTTTCATTAAACATTGTACTGTAGTACAATGTACTGCAGTGTGTATAAAATGTTGCATTACCGTATCTTCCTGTAAAATTTCAGAGAGTTTCGTTACAAAGTTTGGGAACACTGTGAGTACATTGTGTTCGTTTGTGAGTATTTACTTTAAATATAAAAGATTTCTTAGCAGCTATTAAAATGAGGATTCTGTAATGTCTTTTGTGCTATTTAGTAATATAATTTTTTTTTTTTTTTTTTTTTCTTCAATGACCATTTCCTGCCAAGGCAGGGTGACCCAAAGAAGGAAACACATACTGAATTGCAAGTTCTGAACATTTTTGTCAGCACACGTCTGGCAAGATAGCGATTGAATGAATTTATATGATATTTTGAACATTATTATCCATGTAATGGTAATTTGATATATTGGCACAAAATGATTATTATATATCTTGTTCATCTCACTGTTGGATGGCTTTACTTTTTAAAAGACAAAGGAAAAAAATATGGTAAGATTTCATATCGTAGTCAAAGTACTACTTGGCTAGTGTTTTGTCTTGTAATTTTTTTATATATACAGTGGATCCCCGGTATTCCATATTAATCCGTTCCTGAGAGCTCATTGAATACCGAAAATATCGAAAACCGAATCAATTTTCCTCATAAGAAATAATGGAAATCAAATTAATCCGTGCAAGACACCCAAAAGTATGAAAAAAAAAAATTTTACCACATGAAATACTGAGTTTAATGCAATAGAATAATTACAATAACAATAGAATAATTGACAGTTACCTTTAATGAAGATCTGGTGATGATTGATGGGATGGGAGGAGGGGAGAGTGTCGAAGTTGTTACTGTTTAGAAGGGGAATCCCCTTCCATTAGGACTTGAAGTAGCAAGTCCTTTTCCGGGATTACTTCCCTTTTCTTTTAATGCCACTAGGCATTAAAAGAGAGTCACTGGACCTGTGTCGCACAACAAATCTGTCCATAGAGCTCTGTACCTCCTGTTCCTTTATGAATTGTCTAAAATGGCCCACAACATTGTCATTGTGATAGTTACCAGCACGGCTTGCAATAGCTGTGTTAGGGTAATTTTCATCCATAAAGGTTTGTAGTTCAACCCACCTTGCACACATTTCCTTAATTTTTGAAGTAGGCACAATGGATTCCACAACTGGCATAGGCTTCTCAATGTTAGCCCCAAACCCTTCAAAATCTTTCTTAATTTCCATACTCATTCTCACCCTTTTTACCACAGGGTTGGCACTAGAAGCTTTCTTGGGGCCCATGGTGACTTATCCTTAGAAGCAGCCCATTATAGGATGTACGGCCAATCACGTGCTGGCTTGTAAACACTGGCACACACGGGGCAGTTCAGGCCACATGTGGACACGTCTCGTACGAATCGACATCGAATACCGGGTTTTCGATCGATACCAAGGCAAAATTTTTGCGTTAAAATGCATCGAATACCGGATTTATCGAATATCAATACCATCGAATACCGGGGGTCCACTGTATAATGAAACTGATCAAATTTAAAAAGCGTGGCATGCAAGATTTCTTTTTCCATCATAAACATGTCAAGAATTAATTTAAAAAAGAAATGATTTAGTGATCACCAGTTTTTAGCTTAGGATCATTATGTATCAGCCATCTTGTGTACTCAGGTCCAATCCAAAGTTTGACTGGTGTTTTCTGATGGATGAATGAATGTTTATAAAAGTAATATTTCTTTTAATTCTACATCATTTCAGTTGATGAAAAAGACACATTTGCAGTGGTTGGGTATCTTTATTGTTGAAATGTTTTGCCTACGTGGTAGGCTTCTTCAGTCATATAGGACCCTGGTGGGTTTAGCACTTAGTTTTGATTATAATACAGTGGAACCTCGGTTTTCGTGATTAATCCATTTGGAAAAAGTCTGACAATAAACCGAATTGTATGGAAACGGAAGCAATGATTTCACATAAGAAATAATATAAATCCAGTTACTCTGTTCCAGACACCCAAAAAAATATTAACAAAAAATGCATTTTATGGAGAATAACTCTAGTTTTACATACAAACTAGAGCATACGAAAACCAAGGTTCCACTGTAATTCAGTCAAATACAGAGAATGGATTGAAGGCAGCAGAAGTGACGCAGTAAAAATGATGTGATCATCTTTACCTTGTCACTTCTTAAAGATGACGTAATCATCTTTACCTTCAATCCATTCTCTCTATTTGACTGAAGAAGGCTACTGCATAAGTGAAACATTTCAACAATAAAAATACCCAACTGTTGCATGTCTCTTAATCATCAATTTGTTGGTATTTTATACTATTTTCATCATTTCAGTTGTTAAGGCTTGACTTTGTCACATGCTGTTCTCATCGGTTACATTCCACACAAAGGATTTTTTTTAATTGCAAACATTCACATTGCTTCATTCGCATGTGGTTTATTAATAGTAGTGATTGCATGAGCCAAAGGTAGTTTGGAGTTAGAGCAAGGAACGTAATGCTCGTTTTTTTTTTTTTTTTTAAGTTCAGTTTTGTCCTGTGATGTCTGTATTTGTTTGAGATAGTACTCGTTGACACTGTAACGTGCTAATGAATGTTTTATAATAAATGTATTTGAAAATGTTGGTTTATGTATTTCCTTTACAAAGAATGTGAATTTTTAGACAATTTAGAACAGGAGGGCCCCATTGATACAGCAGGTTAGGTTCTGGGCTACTGCAGTAAAGGGAAAATTGCTGTAAAGTGAAACAGCCTTTTTTTCACTTTCAAATGCATATAAAAGTCTGATAACATGTTTACACTATGATATATTAAGTGAGCAATAGAGTTCAAGCCTAAAAATGCATATCCAGTACATACATTACTTCTTACTTTAAACACACCAGCCATATCCCACTGAGGCAGGGTGGCCCAAAAAAAGAAAAATGAAAGTTAATCTTTTTAAATTTAGTAATATATACTGAAAGGGTTACTAGCCCCTTACTACCAGCATTTTGGTCACCTCTTACGACATGCATGGTTTGTGGAGGAAGAATTTTGTTCCATTTCCCCATGGAGATAAGTGGAAATAAATAAGAACAAGAACTACATAGTAAGAAAACCCAGTGGGGTGTGTATATATATGCTTGTACATGCATCTGTAGTTGACCTAAGTGTAAGTAGAGGTAGCAAGACGTACCTGAAATCTTGCATGTTTATGAGAGAAAAAGACACCAGCAATCCTACCATCACAAAAAAAATTACAGGTTTCCGTGTTACACTCACTTGGCAGGACGGTAGTACCACCCTGGGTGGTTATTGTCTACCAACTTAGTATCACAGGATGGTAGTACCACCCTGGGTGGTTATTGTCTACCAACTTAGTATCACAGGATGGTAGTACCACCTGGGTGGTTACTGTCTACCAACTTATTATCACAGGATGGTAGCACCTTACAGTGAGTGGTTACAAATTAGTAATCACAGGATGGTATAACTGAGACTGTTATTGTCTACAACTGTAACAGTGGTGGCCTTCTGGTGGTTACTTTCTACCAACTTTTATCACATGGAATACATTAATTTACAAAGTCCTAATGAGAATGGGTATAACTCTGAAGCTGCCGTTATTGTAAACCCTAAGGAGGCCTCCTTACCTGGTACTCCTTTCTAAATCAGAGAATTGGAATCTTATTTCAAGTTTTCCTTGATGGATACTTCAGAATCCCCCAAAGGCCTTTTATGTTGGTTTTAGGGGCTTCCCTTGATTAGAATAATTCCTTATGTTAAGGAAGGCTTCTATCCCCCCAGGGACTGAAACGTGGCTTTAAGGTCCTTGAATTCAATATTATCTTCCAGGGTTCACATTATTAGGAAGGGGCTCTTGATCCAGGGAATTGAATCCTACTCCTCCTATTTCGACCATCCATTACTCAAAGGGGTTTTTGATCCCAAGAACTGGCCTCTCCTTGGATCAAACTGGTACCTCCAGGCACTGTACGACCCCTAGGGGTTTAGTGCTTCTCTGTGATTATAATAATTGATATGACGATGCATGTGATGGGCTTTTGATCCAAGGAGATGGATTTGTCTTTCCCCTGGACGGAGAAGGGGAAATAACCAGATTTGATGCGAGGAAGAGGAACGTAGCTACAATTTTTTGAATCAAGAGCCCTTCTCAGCATCAAGGTATCCTCTCAAGGATATTATTGCTGTATGACCCTAGTGGGTTTAGCGCTTCTTTGTAATTATAATAATCAAGGCTATTATTATTATTTTGCGCTTAGCTTTGATTATAATAATAATTATTATCATTTATGCTATATGACCCTTGTAGATTTACCGCTTAATTTTGAGTATAATAATAATAATAATAATTGCTTAGTTAATCTTAAGTTAATTTTAAGCCAGCCCGTAATGCTATGCATAGTATAAGTGGCTTTGGCATGCTGCTCTTATCTGTATTTTTTTTTGTACCTCTGTAAGTGTGCTCAAATTATAAATAAATAAATAAATAGTTCTAACGTCCATTAATAGTCGACGAGCCTAAAACAGTAATAAGTAAAAATAACTAAAGTAAAATAAAGTAAAATTTAATTTTCATGACACTACATAAATTTTACATAATATATTTTCCGCTTTTAAATGAAAAAAAAAAAGCTATAATTGTGCAATGCATTTCGGACAGAACCCACTGTCAGGCCATATATTCACTGCAAACACAAATTCTTCAAACTCAAATAACTTAAATAATAAATAACCGAATTTTGATACCAATTTACTCACGTTTTTTGTTTTTTGAGGCCTATTATTTTTTTAGGTTCGTTATTACTGCATATACAAAACGCGGGTTAGTAGTGTCTGAGACGTGGTAGAGGGAGGATGTGCGTCCTTTCCTTCGTTATTTCTTAAATAAGTCTCCATTTTTTTTTGTGTCTTTTGACCTCCCTTGACGCAGTAATATTAATCGAGGTGTTGGTCACCGGAAGTCTTTCTCTGCGCAGCGAGTTTTATATTTTCTGGGGGGGAATTGAAATGACTGGTGGAGATTCCCGGTACTGACGAGTTAAGACTGGTAGTTGTTGAGGTTTGGGAACTGTTTCCTCTAGGTACTGGGAGGTAGACTGACAGTCCTGGGTACTGGGAGGTAGACTGACAGTCCTAGGTACTGGGAGGTAGACTGACAGTCCTGGGTACTGGGAGGTAGACTGACAGTCCTAGGTACTGGGAGGTAGACTGACGTCCTAGTACGGGAGGTAGAATGACGTCCTAGGTACTGGGAGGTAGACTGACAGTCCTTTAGGTACTGGGAGGTAGACTGACAGTCCTGGGTACTGGGGGTAACTGACAGTCCTAGGTACTGGGAGGTAGACTGACAGTCCTAGGTACTGGGAGGTAGACTGACAGTCCTAGGTACTGGGAGGTAGACTGACAGTCCTAGGTACTGGGAGGTAGACTGACAGTCCTGGGTACTGGGAGGTAGACTGACAGTCCTAGGTACTGGGAGGTAGACTGACAGTCCTAGGTACTGGGAGGTAGACTGACAGTCCTAGGTACTGGGAGGTAGACTGACTAGCCTGGGTACTGGGAGGTAGACTGACAGTCCTAGGTACTGGAGGTAATGACAGCCTAGTACTGGAGTAGACTGACAGTCCTAGGTACTGGGAGGTAGACTGACAGTCCTGGGTACTGGGAGGTAGACTGACAGTCCTAGGTACTGGGAGGTAGACTGACAGTCCTAGGTACTGGGAGGTAGACTGACAGTCCTAGGTACTGGGAGGTAGACTGACAGTCCTGGGTACTGGGAGGTAGACTGACAGTCCTAGTACTGGGAGGTAGACTGACGTCCTGGGTACTGGAGGTAGACTGACAGTCCTAGGTACTGGGAGGTAGACTGACAGCCCTAGGTACTGGGAGGTAGACTGACAGTCCTGGGTACTGGGAGGTAGACTGACAGGCCTGGGTACTGGGACGTAGACTGACAGTCCTAGGTACTGGGAGGTAGACTGACAGTCCTAGGTACTGGGAGGTAGACTGACAGCCCTGGGTACTGGGAGGTAGACTGACAGTCCTAGGTACTGGGTGGTAGACTGACAGTCCTAGGTACTGGGAGGTAGACACAGCCCTGGGTACTGGGAGGTAGACTGACAGCCCTGGGTACTGGGAGGTAGACTGACAGTCCTGGGTACTGGGAGGTAGACTGTCAGTCTGTGTAGTGGTGACTGGTACAACATTAACATCAATCAAGAAGCAACAATGAAACTGGTAATTCATCACTTGAAACTTAATCACTAATTAAATTTTTTTTCCCCTCCAGACAGATTTCTTGATCCAAGGAATTGTACTTGACCTCCCCTTCCTTGGATCAAACCCTCTGGCCTCATTCCCCAGCCACTGAACAAACTCATACTAGTTTGGCATGTCCCCATGAATTTAATACTTTACTGTAAAATTTCACTTTTTTATTGCTAATATTAGACACAAATTAGTAATATTCAATGTCCCATAAGTTTTAATAAGAATTATTAGAATAATAATGTAAAATGGAGGTGGTGGCACAGCCTAGAATTTCAGTTGGGATTTCAGCTTGAGAGGATTTCAAAATAAAATGGAGAAAAAACGTAAAACCGTTTTTTTCAGTATGAATGTGTAGATAAGTTTATGCACAGGTACACACAAGCACAATTATCATACAAGTGTAAATTACCTTGGATAACCCCAAAAAAAGGTGGCGACTTGTTCCCATTGAGGTGAAATGTCTTAAACTATTGAGCTTTAGTGGTTATTGGTTAATATAGTGGTAAAAATTTATTAAAACAATTATTTGCATCTGGAGGCATTAGGGTTGTCCACTGGCTTGGTCGGCAAGTAAGTTTATTCAGGTACAGGTACACAAATATAATTACATAAATTATTATACATAGCATACCACAGACACTGAGTGTTCATGGTTTGATCCATGACAAGGGTGGAAATGCAGGCCCTGTGGCCTGGCTGGCAACGACCTTGCTTCACACTCTGAGGGTCCGGGTTCGATTCCCAGCGAGGTGGAAACACTTAGCGTGTTTCCTTACACCTGTTGTCTTGTTCACCTAGCAAGTAGGTACCTGGATGTTAGTCGACTCATGTGGGTCGCATCCTGGGGGACAAGATTGAGGACCCCAATGGAAATAAGACAGTCCCTTGATGATGCACCGACTTTCTTGGGTTATCCTGGGTGGCTAACCCTCCTGGTTAAAAATCCCAACAAATCTTTCCTCCCCCCCTCCCCCCTGTTTCCCTGCCTATAGCTGTGCCACTGATATATGTACAGATGATTGAGCTTGATGAAAAATAATTCTTAGCAGGTGCGAAAGACTTGCCACTTGGCGATTGATGTGTCGGTGTATAGTTGAATGTATAATGATATATGTTGCAGTATTGCTTGAGTGGGCACCCCAACAAGCCATGCAACGTGGTAACCTTCAAGAGTTGTACCCTCATGCTGGACTGTGGCTTAGACATGAGCAGTGTGAGTCACTTCCTCCCACTGCCACTGGTAGTATCACAGAGGCTCAGTAATCTCAGTACCTGGGTGCCACGTGATGCTGATTCACAGCTGGAAGGGGTAAGCATTTTTTGTTAATATATTACACAGGTAGGGAATATGCAGTAGTGAACTTGTTGAGCATGAAGTTTGTCATAGAATTTGTAAGTTGAATTCATAATTTGTGTTATATATTAAGTATGAATTATATAATTAATGATAATAATAGATCTCTTTTCTGCAGTATACAGGTAATGTAATTTACATGTAACAAAGCATTGCTAGGCACAAAAGAAAGCTACTAGCTTGCAGTGCATTTTGGGTGAACTTGTCACATTTGTAACAAGTGGATGTATAATGTACATTGTACATTGAATTTATGCCTTAGTTCATTCCTGAAAACAAGTTTTAAGTGGAACTCATTGTAACATGGGTTGTAGAGAGTTGCATTACTGGAGCTCAAGGCTTGGACCTATTTTTCAATGCAGTATTTAAACAAATGTCCATGCTCTCGGTCAATTAGAGATCATGGAGTTGAATTCTTCTCAAGACTGAGGGACTGGCCACCGCAAAACTTCAAGGCAGGAGATCTGATCACGTTATTTTTACCTCTCCACTGTTCCTGTTGTCTCCAACTTTATTCTTACCTCTCCACTGCTCTCCAACTTTATTCTTACCTCTCCACTGCTCCTGCTGTCTCCAACTTTATTCACCTCTGTATTCAACTAAAGAAGCCTACTGTGTAGGTGAAACATTTTGGAAGTAGATACCTAAAGGTTGCATATATGGACTTTACTGTATGCTTTGTGTTACAAAGAAAATATAATTGTACAGTATTTAATATTTTACTATTAAACTTATGTACTTTATTTCTAAATTTTATTTTTTTCCCAGGAGCTTCGCGAGTGTATGAACCGAATATTTGTAGACTCTCCACCAGAGTTTGTACCGCCAGCGTCAGGCTTGGTCGATTTCTCCGAGGTGGATGCTATCCTAGTGTCTAATTACCATAGTATGTTGGCACTGCCTTTCATCACTAATGGCACTGGCTTTAAAGGTGTTGTGATTATGACAGAGCCAACATTGCAGATAGGAAGGTATGATATCTTGTGATTTTAAAGTTAAATTATAAGTCTTAGTTTTGATTGTCTTAATTTTGATAATGGCAATCCTTACAAAATCTCTGTTGCTGTATATAAAAAAGTCCTTTGCTTTTTAATATACTGTACAAATACAGCCTCTCCTCACTTACTGACGTACTCGTTTACCGACAACTCGGACTTATGACGGGCTCTCTGACCAGTATGCATACCTAAATAATGTATATTAGAGCTGTTTTCCTCTATTCTGATTATTACAATATGCAGTACACTACTGTATAAACATTTAAAAATATACCAGAAATGTTATAAATGGTACAAAGGTGACATTAAAACAATATCAGTGATGGTTGACACAAACCCACTAGTTTTATAGTATGCTCCTCACTTAGCAACTAATTCGTTTACCAACATGGTCTTAGGAACAGAACTCTGTCGTTAAGTAAGGAGAGGCTGTAGTGTTAATTACAAAAAATACAGAAGAAGACTGGGTTTGAAATGCAGTGATACAATTACCTGACATTCTTAGTTTAGACTGGAGAGTGGGGAAGGAAACTTATGCTTCACTATTCTCAGCCCACTAGATAATAGTTTCTTCTATGTGCAGGTTATTTGTGTATAATAGTCCTCAGTTGAGATAGTACATAGTCCTTACCAGATATCCTTGCTGTAGATGGTCAAGTCTTCTGGTATCTGCCTTTCCCATGTCCTATGCATGAATAAGGGCAAATATACATGACTTAAGGTATTTTCTTAAAACTAATAAACCATAACTCATTGAAAATGTTTTGGAAGCTGACCAAAGTTTAAGTCCTCTGTAAGTATTATTTCTTCAGCATTGGGATTCTATTTACCAAGGTAGATTCACTTATTCCTTAGGTTATTCATGGAGGAGTTGGTAGAGTACATAGAAAGGACACCAAAAGCTAGACATGCATTCCGTTGGAAGCATTATCTTCGCTCCCTTCCTGCTCCTCTCTCTGAGGCCAAGGCACCCAAGACATGGCAGCCAGCATATTCCATGAAGTCTATAAACAATGCCCTCTCTCATGTTCAAATTCTTGCCTATAATGAGAAGATAGTAAGTATTTTTCTTTTTTTGCTTTGTTGCTTTTGCACTTTTCAGATGCACTTAAACAGTAATTACATTCTTTCATGGGGTGCTTTAGTGTTGGTGAAGGGCTTTTGATCTAAGGAATTGGATCATACCTTTAATTAGATCAAACTTAATTACTTCTCATTCCTTACATATTGTGTGACCACAATAGAGTTAGGGTTTCTCCATCAAATATATTACTTTTAATATATTTTTTGTTGAACCGTTCCACATTTGGTAAAGTGATTTCAGTAAATCTCTGGATTTTGAATGCTGTACTCCTACAAACATTGTGTAATCATGAGCATTTAGTTTTAAAAAATTGGTGTGGCATTTGTGTGAGTAGTTTTATACACAGTCATTATTATATACAATGCTGTACAGAATTATAGTATTAAAATAAATGCAGCAGTCACATGAGCTCTTTTCTGAAATTTGGTAAGTGCCAGTTTTAAAAAAAACTGAGTTAGGAGTGGCTGCTGCCAAGGGTGTGCTTGTGGCATGCTGAGAGTATGTTATATTTTATTCATTGTATGTCAAACACCCTCATAGGCATGCCTCCCAACTAGTGAACCAGGTGCTAAGGGTTTAACGATCAAGGGGCCCCTTTGTTGTTATACCAGCACCTTGGTTCAGCCAGTCACAAGGAAGCTTGCCAAAGCTGTGAAGTGATGTGATACTCATTAAATAACTTTGGCAGACTTGCCTTCCCTGCTGGTCATCATGGTTTACTGTCTTGTGCTTTCATTTGCCTCATTATACATAGCAGTATATACTGTACATAGGCTACATATATATGTATGTTGTAAATATCAACTTAATTTTGGTGAATAAAATATATTAATTTATTTTCTGTTGTCTATTTGCTGGTTCCTAAGTGGTTATCGCATTATGGCAAGGTATGCAGGCCATACCTACACCTGTGTATGTAATAGTGCTCATATCTCAGCACCTTCATCTATCTACCTCATGATTACCTTCATCAGTACCATTCATCACTGTGATCCTTATAAGTTTAATTCTTTCCATAAATATACAGTGGACCCCCGCTTAACGATCACCTCCCAATGTGACCAATTATGTAAGTGTATTTATGTAAGTGCATTTGTACGTGTATGTTTGGGGGTCTGAAATGGACTAATCTACTTCACAATATTCCTTATGGGAACAAATTCGGTCAGTACTGGCACCTGAACATACTTCTGGAATGAAAAAATATCGTTAACCGGGGGTCCACTGTACAGTATTAATAATTGAAAGAGAGTTGGAACCAAGTGATATTTAATATGTAGTTAAAATTGAAAGTATAGTAATACAAAAAGAAATTTGTAACTTCTCTTAATAAACTATTTAGAAATCATGATATACACATAATAGTGTGGAACTAGTATTTTGATGATTTTTTTTTCCGCTAAGAAGTTTTAATGATCAACTTTGTTTCAGGATGTATGTGGAGCGTTGAAAGTGACAGCTGTGAGCTCGGGATTCTGCCTAGGCAGCTGTAATTGGCTCATATGTTCTGATCATGAGAAGGTTTGATCATTGAGTTATGTTATGTCAATCAATATAATATTTATCAACTTAGTGTATATCTAAGACACCATTTTTACAAACCCAGCAATTCCTAAGCACCCCTATCTTTAAACAGTTCCCACTCCTCTTATTACAAACCTTTCAACAATATATTACAGTGATGATATTTTTGAGAAGGTTGTGCTGGTATGAAAAATATAGTTCAAGAGTGAAAAGGGAGTTGCTCATTTATAAGGATAACAAGATAAATTTAAGGGTGTGTAAATCTGTTTTGCATAAAAGGGTGGTGTAAGGAATGTTCAAAAAGGCTTGGAAGAGGTTGAGCATCTAGCAGGATGTGTTAGGCAAGTTAGGTGAAATGAGTGGAAATGATAATGGGAATTGATTATTTTTGGTTTGAACAAAGGAATACTGTGATGGGATTCAGGACATTTTGCTTGGCTATGTTTCAGGGGTGGGAAATAGTGCCTAACTCTGAGGGGGAAAATTTGTGATGAATGGTTTGAAAAACCGCAAGTAAAAGATTGAGACCTTGTGCAGCATATGGAATCTTATCAGGAAACGTTTCGCACAAAACAGTGCTTCATCAGTCCAATCAAAGAGGAAGGCGTAAGGAGAGAGGAGTATGAGTAATCAGTTCCTCAGCCTGGAGTCGATGTGTTCAGTCTGACTGAACACATCGACTCCAGGCTGAGGGACTGATTACCTCATACTCTTCCTCTCCTTACGCCTTCCTCTTTGTATTGGACTGATGAAGCCACTGTGTGGCGAAACGTTTCCTGAATAAAGATTCCCATATGCTGCACAAGTGTCTCAGGGGAAAAAATGTTGCAGTTTGGAGGGTTATTTAGATTGTGATGCCAGCACTTCTGCCAAGGTAACTCTTTACTCCAGATACTCTTTACTCAGTCTCCCACTCCCTCTGCTGCTGTCCCTCATGTTACTTAATATACCTTCAAGAGGCAGTTACCATAATGCCAGTGAAGGCCTCTTTATCCAATAAAATGGAGTTATACAGTGGAACCTCAAGTATTGAACTGTTCCCAACTCAACCAATTATGTAAGTGTATTTTTGTAAGTGCTTTTATAAGTGTATTTTTGAGGGTCTGAAATGAACTGATCTAATTTACATTATTCCTGATGGGAATAAATTCGTTCGGTAACGGCACTCGAACAGCCGCCTGGAATAAAGAAAGTTTGATATTTGAGGTTCCACTGTACTTCCCAATAATCAAACCTGATAACGTCCCATTATCCAGGGACTGTATGACTCTTGTTTGTGCTTCCTCTTGATTGAAATCCAGTTTCCATGATTTTACCCCATTTGCATGAAATCATCTTCAACCTGTGCTCATCTATGTCCAAACAATCATTTCAGTATTTAAGTCTTTGTTTTTAGCCACTTTCATAATAACTTTTGTTTTTGGAAAAATATTTTAGTAACATGAACTTAGTTTTATTTTAGCATGGAGCCTGGCAACAATGTAATGATAATTTGTATTAGCATCCAAATACAAATAAGGTGACAGCATAATATACATATTTTTTTTTTTTTTACAGGGTTATATCCCACCACCAAGGCAGTGGCCTGTGTTCATTCAATAGCTGTCTTGCCAGAAGTGCTTGTACATCATATTTAAAATGTCTGTTGGAATTACAATATCCCCACCCATCCTTCAGAGTGCAGGCACTGTGCTTTCCCACCACCAGGACTCCAATTCTGGATGACTGGTTTCTCAAAATCCCTTCACAAATGTTACCTTGCTTGCACTTATTATTTACGTTATGGAAATTGATAACTGTTAGGTAAGAAGACTGTTTTATTTTCAGATAGCTTATCTTAGTGGGTCTTCGACCTTGACAACCCATCCTCGACCCATTGACCAAAGTTCTTTAAAAAATGCTGATGTACTTATCATGACGGCTCTCAACCACACTCCAATGTTCAATCCTGATTCCATGCTGGGAGAGTTTTGTGTAGCAGTAGGTGAGAATTATTTTATGCTATTGTTTGTTTATTGCTTAATAATTTTATAGAAGCAAATTCTTGGATGAAGAGTCCTTTCATCCAAGAAATTGGGAGTTGAAGTTGGTCAAGGTCAGGTGTCATCTGTGGTGGTGGTGGTGTGAGGGGCATCACTATCACCTGTTAGTTTTTCCCATGCAAGATGAGTTTGGCTAGTGGCTTAGTAATACTAAATTCCCACTGATTCTACTCTGTAGTTTTGGAGGCCTGTAAGATTGCTGCTTTAAAACAATGCCTTCTAGTCCTGTACACTTCCTTTATGATAGATCTGGATTTGTCCATTCCATGAGGTGGTTTTGTCTTTATAATATAGGTATTGTTCTGAGGAAGCTTTACAAGCACGCATATGTTAGAAGATTCTGATGTATAAGCTGTTTGATATTTCACCAGATGTAGAAGGTCACACTTTCAACAAGGAATCTTGTGTAGGCCTGGTTCTATGTTGTGGTAATGGTTGGTATATGGTCTGGTCAGTTTGCATATAATTTTAGATGTTGAGACTGCCATGTTGTCATGTTCAGTACCTGGGTTATGTTATTGGTTGTGCTACCATTAGGCAAAAATGTTGGTGGTTGTTATTGTTGCTCTTGGGGTTGTTTAGTATTTACTGTGCTTCATATCTACATTCTAAGACAAAGTAAAAATATTTAAAACTGGTGAATATGTTGGGATTGGTGTTTCACCCATCTGTAAGGAGCTTGGGGCTACATATTCTTTGTCACCCACAGAAGTAAACATGTCGTATAAGATTCCTTGTGGAGAGAGTGACACATTTTACATTAGTGAAACGGTACTGCCTACACTAGACTCCTCGAACGTGTATTCATGCAATTCACAATTGGAAAAGTACCTGTTATACAGAACAGACACTCAGATGGGAAAACTCAACAGGGTGCTGGCACCCACTTGCATTACTGCCATAGGTGATGCATGACAACCTAGAGTTCTTTCACCCCATCCCCTCCACTATGTATAACATCACATTACCTCCTGTGTAGCTAGATTAAGCTTTACCTGGAATGAAACATTGTTAATAATGTTTGCTTTGCACATTTGCAAGGAAACACATACTTGGAGAATTCTGTCTGAAAAATTAGAAAGTTTGTCTTGTGCTTATTCATAGAGTTGGGATTCTTTTTTTTCTTTTAGCTTAATGACAGTGTCCCACCAAGGTAGTGACCCAAGGCAGGAAACACATTCACTTTAAATTAATCACATTCCAGAAGTGTGCAGACAACATTCAGATTACCCTCTGACTGCAACATTGTGACCCTTCAGAATAAAGGCACTGCCCTTCCCACCTCCAGGTGGGAGTGCAGTTCAGAGTTAATGATTGTAGGCAACCATCATTGTGGTAGAAAACATTGAAGGTATGATTACAGGAAAAGACCCATAGGAGTAGAAGTGCATCAGAGCCGTTTAAGATTGCATTTGGGCATGGCTGCCTGGAGGCATTTCTCTTGGTCACTCTTTCAAGGACAAACTGGGAATTAAAGCCAGATTTTTACTGACATTAGATTTATACCACTGCATATTCAGTTGAGATATTGAAATGTAAGTAACAAAATATTTACGAAACTGTAATTTTCCACTAAATATTTTCTTTCAGCTCAAACGGTTCGTAATGGTGGCAATGCTCTTGTGCCGTGCTATCCAAGTGGAGTTGTATATGACCTCTTTGAATGTCTTTCCAATCATCTTGACAACATTGGTCTATCCCTCATACCAATGTATTTTGTATCACCGAGGGCTGAGAACTCATTAGCGTATGCTAATATCTTTTCCGAATGGTGAGTTGACATTGAAGATTCAGTCTCTCCTTAACTATTTCTCATTTGTCACACATCTTGTAGCAAAATGCCTTTGTTTTTTTTCCAACAAACTGGCCGTATCCCACTGAGGCAGGGTGACCCAAAAAAAAAAAAAAAATGAAAGTTTTCTTTTTAAATTTAGTAATTTATACAGGAGAAGGGGCTACTAGCCCCTTGATCCCAGACATAATGCCTTATCTTCTCTAATTGAATTTCAAGCTTTTTCAATTAGTATTACTGTATATTGTAGGGGAGGTGCTAACCATAAGGGTCTTACAAGGTCTGGGGACTGGAAAGTGATCAGGTTTGATTCAAGGGAAGGTAAGGTAGTTTCTCAGATCAAGCAGGTGTCTTTCAAATGTGAATTTCCTACTACTACCGTTTCATATTCTAACCTAGGTCTGACAAAGATAGTAAGCATTTTTAAAGCATTATCTCGCATTATTTAACCCTTAACCCTTTCAGGGTCCAAACCCTAATCTGAAACTTGTCTACAGGATCCAAGAATTAAAAAAAAAATTATAAAATGATTGAGAATCTTTTACTGAAGGTAATAAATCAAAAAGTATGAAATTTCGTCGAAAATTTACAAAATTACACTATTGTGAATTTTGCTGTGTCAACGATATATACACATGGGCAATTTTGCCCACTTTGACTCCTATATTATAGGCCACTTACATTGTTCGAGTCAACCAGATTCTTAGCTATTTTGCTAGTATGCCTTCTATTTTATCAGTTGAGCACAAAGAACTGCCCAATCAGCTACTTCACCCATCCAAAAAAGTAATCAGAAATTGGTAATTTTTCCAATTTCACATAAATTTCATAATGTTTCAATTTCAAAATAGGATCCAGAATAAACAGTGTAGGCATTCCTGGCAATAAAAATAAAATTTCCTCTGTTCATTAGTTATGTTTCCAGGGTTTACACATGAATTCCATTTTGATTTTGTATTCACACAAGGAATTTTTATTTGCACCAAAAAAAAAAAGATTTACTGTTATGCAATGTTGTAATAATTTTATAAATATATCAGAGCATTCGTGAACACATATTGGGCCCACCAGTTGATGTGTATTGGACACGTGATGTGATTTGTTTACTCTTGAACATTGGCAAAAATTGAACATTCCTGCTAATTTGATCTCAATTTTGAGCTATTTTCAGTCCTAAAATCAATCAAAATCACTTTTATTTTTGTAATATTTCTTCCATTCTATCAAATGAGACCAAGAAACCTTGAATACAATCATAAAAACCAAATGAAAATACACTGCAAAGTCACTGTTTTCAACTAAAAACACTTTTGCAGTTTTATCTCATTATGTACTGTGTGTTGCACTATTTGTTTTATATGGTGCACTTACCCCATGAACCCATTCTCTCATATCTAAGCCCAAATTTACCGCTCACAGCCTGTCTGAGCTGAGCTCATCACGATAGTATTATGACACAGACCCTGGCTTTAAACCCATGTAACAACAGCACGGACCCTCAAGTGATTAAGCATACCCTTAAATAAAATTTCTGTATGCATGCCAGATTTTGAAAAAAAAAAAAGTACATTGTCTAGGTAGAATAAAAAAAAAAGAATCGTGTACGATTTTGTGTTGAAGTTGACAAGAAATTATCACTCATTGGCAACAGCAGCATAAATGCCTTAGCAGCATATGTATTTTATAATTTATTGATGCAGAATAATTATTTTTTAATATCTAACACTGTAGAGGTGTTGAAACCTGGGGAGATGCATCGCTTGACATGGCTTTAGTTGGAATATACAAAAAAAATGGGACAACTAACTTTCTTATTTTTTATTGCTTTGGTCTTCTAACAATATGTACAAGGAAATTTTATGCTTTTAAAATTGGTTGGTGTGGTACTCCTTGAAACATTGGAAAAAGTAACATTGTTTGATTGTGTTATCCTGATTTAAATCCATATGGCATGCCTTTTGGCTGAAATCCACTGTCAGTATCATGCAAGTGTAATAAATTTGGAACAAATGAGGTACGTATTTTACCACCAGTTCCACTTACTCAAGATGTGATAGTTCTCTAAACTTAGACATATATTGCATGTTTGACTGTTGGGTTATACTGGGAAAAATCTGCATACTGTAGTTTGCCTGTTGAATGAATTCCGCTGTTATTATCATGAATTTGCAATAAATGTGGAATAAAGTTGAATTACTTAAATTTCAACAAACCGGCTGTATCCCATTGAGGCAGGGTGGCCCAAAAAGGAAAACAAAAGTTTCTCTTCTTAAATTTAGTAATATCCACAGGAGAAGGGGTTAATAGCCCCTTGCTCCTGGCATTTTAGTCACCTCTGACGACACGCATGGCTTACAGAGGAAGAATTCTGTTCCACTTTCCCATGGAGATAAGTAGAAATAAGCAATAACAAGAACTGGTTAGAAAATACAAGAAAAGCCAGAGGGGTGTGTGTGTGTGTATATAGATGCTTGTACATACATGTGTAGTGTGACCTAAGTGTAAGTAGAAGTAGCAAGATGTACCTGAAACCTTGCATGTTTGAAACAGAAAAAACACACCGACAATCTTACCATCATGTAAAACAATTACAGGTTTCCGTTTCACACTCACTTGGCAGGACAGTAATACCTCTGGGCGGTTGCTTACTACCTCCTTAAAGATGAATGATGCTGAATAATTTTGTCAAGTTATTTACATAGTAAATCAAACATGTTTATTACAGGTTATCGTCAAGTAAGCAGGGCAAAGTGTATAACCTGGATGACCCATTCCCACATGCTCACCTCACCCGCCATGGAAGGCTCAAACCATTTAAAAGTTTACATGCAGAGGGCTTCAGCAGTGAATACAGACAGGTGAAAAATAATAGTTTTCTTAACACTGTATATGCACTTGATAAGTCTCTCTTAACTATAGCCAACTATACCAATAGATCTTTTCATACACACACAATAATGGAACAGTTTTTAGTTGTAATTTAAGTACCAGTAACTTCTACCATAGCGGTGTAATTTTTCATTTTATTAATGTCATCAGTTATAAAATCCTTAATTTTTTTTTGACAAATTGGCCATATCCCACAAAGGCAGGGTGACATAAAAAGAAAAACTAAGTTTTTCTTTTTAAATTTAATAATTTATACGGGAGAACGGGTTACTAGCCTCTGGCTTATGGAGGAAGAGTTTTTTTCACTTCCCCATGGAGAAAATCTTTGATATTATTATTAATTATCTTTTGCAATTAATTTTTTTTTTCTGTTTTGACAGCCATGCATTGTATTTTGCGGACATCCTAGTTTACGATTTGGAGATGCTGTGCACTTCATAGATATGTGGGGTAATAATCCCCAAAATGCGATACTCTTTACAGGTGAGTAGATACTTGACGTTTTTCTAGTTTCTTCCTATTTTTCTGAGAAACTTAAATTTTTATAGTAATGCAGAAAATTAGGTGCTAACCCTTTTGTTGTGGTTTGTTGCAAATGTGACTTATTCACCAAGGACAGTTATTGTTCCTCAAACTACAATGGACCCTCGTTTTTCGTAATTAATCCGTTCCAGATAGTGTGACTATTATCGAAATTGTCAATTTCTGAATCCGTTTTCCCCATAAGAAATACAGTGGACCCCTGCCTAACGAACGCATCGCATAACGTTAAATCCGTCTAGTGATATATTTTAACGCAAAAATTTTGCCTTGGCTAGCGCTAAAAAACTTGCTCAACGCGATTCGTTTGAGACGTGTCCACGTGCAGCCTGAGCCCGCCTCACTTGTTCCGTGGGTGCCAGTGTTTACAAGCCAGCCACCGTGGTCGCTTCCAAGCATACAATCGGAACATTTCATATTATCACAGCCTTTTTAGTGATTGCACCTGCAAAATAAGTCACCATGGGCCCCAAGAAAGCTTCTAGTGGCAACCCTACAGGAAAAAGGGTGAGAATTACTATGGATATGAAGAAAAAATAGGAGAGGAGAGTTATTAAATGGAGAGTTAGAGGTATTGGGAAGATGGAGGGAATATTTTGAGGAATTGTTAAATGTTGATGAAGATAGGGAAGCTGTGATTTCGTGTATAGGGCAAGGAGGAAAAACATCTTGTAGGAGTGAGGAAGAGCCAGTTGTGAGTGTGGGGGAAGTTCGTGAGGCATTAGGTAAAATGAAAGGGGGTAAGGCAGCCGGGATTGATGGGATAAAGATAGAAATGTTAAAAGCAGGTGGGGATATAGTTTTGGAGTGGTTGGTGCAATTATTTAATAAATGTATGGAAGAGGGTAAGGTACCTAGGGATTGGCAGAGAGCATGCATAGTTCCTTTGTATAAAGGCAAAGGGGATAAAAGAGAGTGCAAAAATTATAGGGGGATAAGTCTGTTGAGTATACCTGGCAAAGTGTATGGTAGAGTTATTATTGAAAGAATTAAGAGTAAGATGGAGAATAGGATAGCAGATGAACAAGGAGGCTTTAGGAAAGGTAGGGGGTGTGTGGACCAGGTGTTTACAGTGAAACATATAAGTGAACAGTATTTAGATAAGGCTAAAGAGGTCTTTGTGGTATTTATGGATTTGGAAAAGGCGTATGACAGGGTGGATAGGGGGGCAATGTGGCAGATGTTGCAGGTGTATGGTGTAGGAGGTAGGTTACTGAAAGCAGTGAAGAGTTTTTACGAGGATAGTGAGGCTCAAGTTAGAGTATGTAGAAAAGAGGGAAATTATTTCCCAGTAAAAGTAGGCCTTAGACAAGGATGTGTGATGTCACCGTGGTTGTTTAATATATTTATAGATGGGGTTGTAAGAGAAGTAAATGCGAGGGTCTTGGCAAGAGGCGTGGAGTTAAAAGATAAAGAATCACACATAAAGTGGGAGTTGTCACAGTTGCTCTTTGCTGATGACACTGCTCTTGGGAGATTCTGAGAGAAGTTGCAGAGATTGGTGGATGAATTTGGTAGGGTGTGCAAAAGAAGAAAATTGAAAGTGAATACAGGAAAGAGTAAGGTTATGAGGATAACAAAAAGATTAGGTGATGAAAGATTGGATATCAGATTGGAGGGAGAGAGTATGGAGGAGGTGAATGTATTCAGATATTTGGGAGTGGACGTGTCAGCGGATGGGTCTATGAAAGATGAGGTGAATCATAGAATTGATGAGGGGAAAAGGGTGAGTGGTGCACTTAGGAGTCTGTGGAGACAAAGAACTTTGTCCTTGGAGGCAAAGAGGGGAATGTATGAGAGTATAGTTTTACCAACGCTCTTATATGGGTGTGAAGCATGAGTGATGAATGTTGCAGCGAGGAGAAGGCTGGAGGCAGTGGAGATGTCATGTCTGAGAGCAATGTGTGGTGTGAATATAATGCAGAGAATTCGTAGTTTGGAAGTTAGGAGGAGGTGCGGGATTACCAAAACTGTTGTCCAGAGGGCTGAGGAAGGTTGTTGAGGTGGTTCGGACATGTGGAGAGAATGGAGCGAAACAGAATAACTTCAAGAGTGTATCAGTCTGTAGTGGAAGGAAGGCGGGGTAGGGGTCGGCCTAGGAAAGTTTGGAGGAGGGGGTAAAGGAGGTTTTGTTGCGAGGGGCTTGGACTTCCAGCAGGCATGCGTGAGCGTGTTTGATAGGAGTGAATGGAGACAAATGGTTTTTAATACTTGACGTGCTGTTGGAGTGTGAGCAAAGTAACCATTTATGAAGGGGTTCAGGGAAACCGGCAGGCCGGACTTGAGTCCTGGAGATGGAAAGTACAGTGCCTGCACTCTGAAGGAGGGGTGTTAATGTTGCAGTTTAAAAACTGTAGTGTAAAGCACCCTTCTGGCAAGACAGTGATGGAGTGAATGATGGTGAAAGTTTTTCTTTTTCGGGTCACCCTGCCTTGGTGGGAATCGAGCCAGTGTGATAAAAAAAAAAAAAAAAAAGAAAGAGATCATTGCTAAGTATGAAAGTGGAGTGCGTGTCTCTGAGCTGGCCAGGTTGTACACAAAACCCCAATCAACCATCACTATTGTAGCCAAGAAAACGGCAATCAAGGAAGCTTTTCTTGCCAAAGGTGCAACTTTGTTTTCGAAACAGAGATCGCAAGTTATAGATGATGTTGAGAGACTGTTATTGGTGTGGATAAATGAAAAACAGATAGCAGGAGATAGCATCTCTCAAGCGATCATATGTGAAAAGGCTAGGAAGTTGCATGAGGATTTAATTATAAAAATGCCTGCAACTAGTGGTGATGTGAGTGAATTTATGGCCAGCAAAGGTTGGTTTAAGAGATCTTTAAGAATCGTAGTGGCATACATAGTGTGATAAGGCATGGTGAGGCTGCCAGTTCGGACCACAAAGCGGCTGAAAAATATGTGCAGGAATTCAAGGAGTACATAGACAGTGAAGGACTGAAACCTGAACAAGTGTTTAATTGTGACGAAACAGGCCTGTTTTGGAAGAAAATGCCAATCAGGACCTACATTACTCAGGAGGAAAAGGCACTCCCAGGACATAAGCCTATGAAAGACAGGCTTACTCTGTTGATGTGTGCTAATGCTAGTGATGATTGCAAAGTGAAGCCTTTATTGGTGTATCACTGAAACTCCCAGAGTGTTCAGGAAAAACAATGTCCTCAAGGCTAATTTGTGTGTGCTGTGGAGGGCAAACAGTAAGGCATGGGTCACTAGGGACTTTTTCTATGACTGGTTACACCATGCATTTGCCCCCACTGTGAAAAATTACCTCCTGGAAAATAAATTGGACCTTAAGTGCCTCCTGGTATTAGACAATGCTCCTGGTCATCCTTCAGACTTGGCAGAGCGACTTTCTGCGGAAATGAGCTTCATTAAGGTCAAGTTTTTGCCTCCTAATACCACTCCTCTCCTGCAGCCCATGGACCAGCAGGTCATTGCAAACTTCAAAAAACTACACAAAAGCTATGTTTGAAAGGTGCTTTGTAGTGACCTTAGAAACTTGATTGACTCTAAGAGAGTTTTGGAGAGATCACTTTAGCATCCTCAGTTGTGTAAACATTATAGGTAAGGCTTGGGAGGAAGCGGCTAAGAGGACCTTGAACTCTGCTTGGAAGAAACTGTGGCCAGAATGTGTAGACAAAAGGGATTTTGAAGAGTTTGAGGCTAACCCTGGGAATCCTATGCCAGTTGAGGAATCCACTGTGCCATTGGGGAAGTCCTTGGGGTTGGAGGTTAGTGGGGAGGATGTGGAAGAGTTGGTGGAGGAGGACAATGATGAACTAACCACTGATGAGCTGCTAGATCATCTTCAACAGCAAGAGGACAGACCTGAGGAAACTGCTCCAGAGGAGGGATAGAGAACTGAAGAAGTTGTTACTTCAAAGATTAGGAATGTAGCCCCAATGCTGGCCTAAAGTGCAAACCTTTTATGAAATTCACCTCACAAGTATTGCAAGCGATGTGTGACATACATGACAATGTTGTGAAACACTTTTAGAAATCCCCATAAAGGAACGAGGTACAGGCCTCTATGGACGTATTGCGACAGAGGTCCAGTGAACTCTTCAAGCGACCTATGGCATTAAAGAAGAAGGGAAGTAACCCCATGGACAAAGGACTTGCGACACTCAAGTATCCACCTAATGGAAGGGGAATTCCCCTTCTAAAAGGACTTACCACACCATCCACACACTCCCCTCCTCCCATCCCATCAGTCATCACCAGATCTTCAATAAAGGTAAGTGACATGTAACTGTGCATGTCTTCTTCAATTTGTATGTATTAAAATTAATATTTCATGTGGTAAAAATTTTTTTTTTCATACTTTGGGGTGTCAGGAACGGATTAATTTGATTTCCATTATTTCTTATGGGGAAAATTAATTTGGCTAACGATAATTTCGCCTAACGTTGAGGTCTCAGGAACGGATTAATATCGTTAGGCGAGGGTCCACTGTAATGTAAATCCAGTTAATTCGTTCCAGACACCCAGAAGCATCAACAAAATTTTTTTTCTTTTTTACCTTAACCCTTTCAGGGTTTCGGCCGTACTAGTACAGCTTACTCACCAGAGTTTTTGACGTACTAGTACGCCTAAATTCTAGCGCCCTCAAATCTAGCGAGAGAAAGCTGGTAAGCCTACATATGAAAGAATGGGTCTACGTGGTCAGTGTGCGCGGTATAAAAAAAATCCTGCAGCACACAGTGAGTAATGAGAAGAAGAAAAACTTTGACCGTGTTTTTGGATTAAAACAGCGACTTTGCACTGTATTTTCGTATGGTATTTATTGTTGTATTCTAGTTTTCCTGGTCTCATTTTATAGAATGGAAGACATATTACAGAAATTGAGATGATTTTGACTGGTTTTACAAAGAAAAGTACCTTGAAATTGAGCTCAAAGTAGCAGAAATGTTCGATTTTTTCCGAAGTTCAAA